TTTTGTCTGTCCATTTGTTCCGGCTAATCTCCGAAACGTCTGAACTGATTTTGACGGGACTTTCACTGGTCTGCTAAGTTTGCTACTTTTATTTTAGAAAAAGAATTAGGATTCCGATCAAAAAAGTTCAAAGGGAAAGCCGCTAATATGTATTACATATACAATTCTTGTATATTTATTTATATCGGCGATTTCGGAAACGGCTCTAACGATTTCGCTGAAATTTAATGTGAGGGTTTTTATAGGCGAAAAATCGATCTAGATTAGTCTTATGTCTGAGAAAACGCATGTTTTCGAGTTTTCATGCGATTCTCTTTCACGTTATTCCACGCAAAATATGGTCGCTAATTTCGCACGTTCGGGCATAAGTATCATGGTCAAGCAATTAAGGCGCTAGATTGACAATCACAGGTGTCCGGGCTCGAATCCCGGACGAATACTCGGTTTTTACTTTTGTTATTGTTTTTTTTAAATACTTTATTTTTAAATATTAATTTTCTACATCGATGGTAAAATTGAGATTTAATTACTAAGTGAGTTCTTAACAGAATTAAAGAATATTAGTCTTTCAACATATGTACATGAGAGTGAGAAGGAGAAATCAACGGCGCTAGACGACAAATATCGTCTATCTTTATCTAAGTATCAAAGACTTTAACCTGTAAAGCCTTTTAAAGAACTTATCACTCAAACATAAAAATACTATTAAAGATCATTTTTTTGTATTAAAAACAACATTTTTCATCCAGCACCATACTTCGAATCTTTACCTTCACTGAACTTCGCTTCTATAGCGCCAAAATGATTATTTTGTAATGTAAAGAGCATTTGGAGAGAGTCAGAAAAGGTTTGCAGCACGAAAGTTTTCAACTTTGCTGAGATTTATTTGCTGCCTCAGAAATATGTTTTCATTTTGCCATTACTTTCGTTTTACAATGTCATTAATAAAATTATAGTAATTAATAGCTTTGCCAAAAATATTAAAAAAATATGCCTTCAATATTCTAGTCGCGGACTCTTATAACAATTTTATTAAAGAAAACACCTTTTTATGGTTATACACATAATCTATACATATGTTAAAATTCTAACGGATTCGAATCTGTACATAAAATATATTTTGGAAAATATTATTGAAATAGTCATTATTTTAGATACAGAGGTCGAATCTATAGTTTTTAGAATTTTTGTCTGTCTATCTATCTGTCTGTGATCGCATCACAAGAAAATCACTGGACAGATTTTGATGTATTATAATAGCTGGTTATCCGGGTCAACATATAGGATACTTATTACTGCGGGAAAATATCCCATCTTTGAGAAATCTATACTAAATGTTAAAAGTTAAAACATTATTAGCATAACAACTAAGGACGAACCCGAGCGAGGCAAGGGCGAGTCGCTAGTGTAATATAATTTATTTATTCAGTTTAGTCAAAAATATTATGTTTAAAGCATTGCTACAACACTATCTCAAGAATTGCTCCTTCATACTACCATGCTACAGTATGGACAAGTTACTTATCAGTTGCTCAGAACAATACCGATTACCGAACAAGATTGTAGCTGGTGGGGAGGTGCTTAAAAAATCTATTTATGTCCATATATCACAATTTAAATACCGACACGCGCAGTCGTGACGTATTTGTACATTGAAAAAAAAAATATTTTCTCTTTTGTTTTCCTGCGAACCAAACATTGAGTTTAAAATAAATGAAGGTGCACTGAGCTCTGAATTATTGGGTCGTGGGTATTCGTTTGCAATACCACGAGATTATTCGAACAGTTGATATTTTACCCACGACGAAAGCACCTATGCCATTTAATCGACTGCGTATGTGTATTTGTATATTTTTGGTTTATTTACTGAAAGGACTCACGTTTGTCTGACATGATAAAGTCAAATAAAATAACTCTTTTGTTGAGTTTTTCACTGAAACACTGGATTCTCCTATTTTTGATGTCTGATAAAAAATCATTTCAAGAAACAAAAAGAAGTCTATATCATCATTTTTGTGTACACTTTAAAATGAATGATTATATAATTGGATCACCTAAACGAATACCTATGAAAATAATAAATCAGATTAAATTAAGTTCTCATATTGTTTTGTTTTACTTTTATTACTTTTACGTATAAACAACTTAACTACCTTTAAGTCTATTGACATCATGTTTATGGGAACAGTTAACGAAACTCATTTCGCGATTAATAGTAACCTTATCAGCTTCGATTAAGCCGCCCTTTCGCTTCCCTTTGATCGGTAAGTCTTGAGAACGAGAGGTGCAAATTAATTACGCTGATAACACTTTTGCAGTCATTTATTTTTACTTTAATATAATTAATCTGTCAACTGCTATACAATATGTACATGTGCATTACTATAAAAACTACATAGAATTTTTTGGTTTGAGGTAACTTGGTGGAGGGAGAGGAGGAGCTAAAATCATTTTGACTGCTCTCTAAATATCCGTGGATGACTCACACGTGGGGCTAGTTACAAATTGTAAATTAAATCGCAAAGAATGAAGCTGCGAAATATAATTAATCTGTAGGTTATAATATAAGTAATATGTACATGTGCATTACTATAAAAACTAGATAGATTTTTTTATTATAGATAGACATAAAATTACTAAGCATATTTTGTATGGAATGTACGCTTAATTTATTTCTATGAAAGAAAATCATTATACACCTGATCGCATTCATTTTATCGAAATCCTATTAATGCTTTAGACTGGAAGCTATTTTGTACTAGCGCCGTTTTGCACTATTTGATTTTGTATAAAAAGGTTCAACATTGCTGTGAGAAAAAGTTCGAATAATCAGAAATACAGTGAAACGAAACGTAAAAAATGTGACAAATAGGCTGAGAAAATTGTTTGAACTGTTAAAAATGTGGAAAGCGCTAACACTGTACCTATATGTAAAAAGTGGCTATATGCGTGTAAAAATATCAAGCTCTCGTTAAAATCAACTTTGATATTTGCTCTAATTCTAACTGAATACACTCCATATAAAATATTGAAAATCTTCGTTCTTCTCAGATTACAGTTTTAAATGGGTAAAATAATTATTGAAACTGTTTTACTTAAGTAAAGTGGGGCACTTCAACTTGGGCTTTATAAGTAAAATGAGACATCTTGGAGAGTAATTATATTTTCTTTTTAATGTTTATTTCTTTATGACGATGCTGGCCGTTAACTCTATTTCTCTCTTCGATTTCCGTACTTGACATATTTTATTTTTTTTCGATATGTTTTTCTTTATGCTAAGCTTTAAAGGAACCTACCAATCTGCATGAAATTGATGTGAGAAGAAACTACAGCGATGATCTAGTTGTGTTACCTACTTATGTCGGAGTTATATGAATATGTTATATGTAATTTATCTTAGTGCAGAGATACTCGTAGATGAAGATAGACTACTTTTTATTCTGTAAAAGGAATCTGTGCCCACGCGAAGCCGGAGATGGAGGTCAAGTTAAATTTTTATTTTGCTATGATTATTATTGTTTATTATTAAGTAAAACAATCATATCATCAAATGAGAATCGTACCGATCATAGAAAAGATGTATGTATAAACTTTAATCTATGCATCTACGGCTATTTAAACTGAATTTCTCTTTTGAAATAGTATTTCGCATCGCCTTTTCCAAAATGGCTTAGGAGTATAACTCTAGCCAATAACAGCTATATCTATATTTTATTAATAATATGTTATTATTAATATTAACCAAGACGGCTTTACGTACTCGTAGTATAAAATGAAGTCGCTTCCGCTGTCTATTCGCTTAGATCTTTTAAACTACTCAACGAACTTTAATGCAGTTTTCTGAAATAGATAGTGTTTCAAGAGGAAGGTTTATATGTATAGTACAGAAAAGCCGAGAAATTCAAAGATTTACATTTCATACTAACCGTTAAAACGTACCAAGGCACGAACCCGAGCGAAGCGAGAGTGAATCGCTAGTATAATTAATGAAATATAATATATTTATACTTAGTAATAAAATTCGCAATACTTTTATCATTCTCATTTTATTCTACAGTTAAAAAACTGAAAATATAATAAATGTTATTGGCCGTTATACAACTCTGTAATTATGATACGGTAAATATTATTATAGAAAATGTCTGAGCACGGCGAGCTTTTTCCCATGCGGGAAAATGTGTTTGACTTTTCTTATTATGATTCCAGTTTATTTTTAGTTTATTTTGCTACAGCCTTTTGTTTGCCGCCTTGGTAATAAAGAAATAGAAGCAATAAATTAAAATACTTTCTTTTCAAATGCTGTAAGTTATTTATACAATAACGTCTTTGCTCTAAAAATCATTCTCTTTGTACACTTTATCAGGCAGCCGTTAAACAGAAAAAAAAAACTATAAATCTACCTATTTCTATCTTTTACCAATTTTATATCCATGAAGTTTCATTCGCTCTGACTCATAATTAATTATAGCAAAATACCTATAATGTACTAAAGCATAAAAGGGAACAAAGAACAATATCCAACTGGTATTTTAAACGAATGATGAATAGAATATAACGAGACAAAACGATACAATGAGATAGATGTAAAATATATATTTTTAAGTTTTTTTTTTTATATTTCATATTTTCTTTGTAAGCTGTGCTCTAAATTATTCAGAAACATTAATTGGTTATTAGGACGTGTTTTTGTGTTTGGAAATGTTGCTCGTTTGCCACAATGGTGGCAAGGCGGGGTTGTAGGGGCGGGCACAGCGGCGCGGCAGCGGCAGTTGGTTCCAGTTCGCTCGGCGGTCGCTCGCTTTATACGATTTTGCCCTTTGGCGGAATCTCAGTGCGAGATACTTCGATAATTTTCGCTGAAAATGAAATAAAATAAAGTGGAGTGTTGTGACTTCATACAAATATTCTACAGTGATATGCTAGTGATTTGTGTATGAGAAATCTGTTGATGCTGTGCGCCATGCGGTGAGGCGCCGCCGGTGCTTCCTGCACGCGCGGATATGGTTGACCCCCTGAAAATATTTTGGGTGTTGACAAACAGCACATACCTTGGTACCTTTTCCTTTACTCCCTTGCAAAAATATTACTTTAATTTAAGAAACAACAAATATTTCATTATTATACCTATACTTAATTCAAAGTAAATGTTATCATTCAAAATGGTTATCACATTAATTTTTGGGTATTTTGGATGTATTTTTCGTCGTTAACAAAATCAATAAGATTACAATAAACAATTTAAAAATATTTTTTGTCGATATGTGATAATTTATTTTTATATACATCTATAATTGTAATTTGGAAACTTAACCTGAAAGTTAACATAATTTAATTTGTCCTTGCTCACTTGAAAGCTACTTCGTGAAGAGGTCTGAATTTAATTCAAGAGCTATTGCTTCAGAAACCGTTTTCATTTTTAGCTATTGTGATGTGCCTCTTGTATAAGAATTTTCACTTGAAATACGAATGTTAGTATGTGTTAAAAAGATTTATTAGGGGAACGAAATTTAAGTATTAGAAAGAAATATGAACCTTTTATTAAAATAAAATTAAATATTTATATAAAACTCTCCAAATCTACGGTATATTTTGTTGAATTGACTGATTTAGACAAATTAAAATATTCCTGGTTTATATTAAACACTTTGTCACTATACATAATAAATTGATTAAAAAATGGTTTGTGAATCCGATTTAAGAAAAGATCTTTACATTATGGGAATTAAAACAATTAGAGTTTTTATTAAATTTTATCTAAACTTGATGCTTTTTAGAGTTTTGCGTATTTTATTTTTCTCAATTTTTACAATTATTTACTTTTAATTTTTAACGAACAGCGGGCCCAAAATTGGAATTTATCTACCTGTCTGAATTTAAGCTACTAGGTACGTGTGCGTCTGTCACGGGGCTATCTAACTCTATATATTTCTTAAATTATAACATAATATACACATATACTCCGCCCGCGTTCAGGTGACCAAAAACCATTTTTTTAGGTTTTACATATTAGTATACTCTTACATTGCAGTTTTTGCATTTTTTCTCTGAAATGAAATATTTTCCTGCGGTAAAAAGTATCCTATATGTTGACCTGGATAAGCAGCTATCACCATACAAAATTTCATCAAAATCCCTCCAGTGGTTTTTCTGTAATGCGGTAACAGACAGACAGAGAGACAAAAATTCTAAAAACTATGGATTCCGCCTCTGTATCGATAATAATGTTTATTTCAATAAGATTTTCCAAAAAATATTTAATGTACAGATTCGGCTTAGTTACAATTTTATTATATGTATATATATATAACCTAACCTAAAAAAATGAAGAATACTTAGGTTATACAGGAAAATAATATGGCTTATTAAGGAGCAGTTTTATGGTTCTTTAAATATCAACATAAAACATTGCAAAGAAATAAATAGCATTTTAAATCGTCTTAAAAGTATTTGCATAATAGCTTGCGCTGTATGACACTTTAATTTTATTTATGTAGATTTGAGCAAAGACAATGTTTCTAGTAGGATTAAAGCAAAAAGTTGAAACTAGCATTGCCCGCGGCTCCGCCCGCGTACAGATGACCAAAAACCAAATTCTTAGGTTTTACGTATTAGTATTGCTCTCACATTGCAGTTTTTGTATTTTTTCTCAAAAATGAGATATTTTCCTGAGGTAAAAAGTATTCTATATGTTTCCCGGATAACCAGCTATCATGATACCAAATTTCATCAAAATCCTTCAGCGGTTTTTCTGTGATGCGCTAACAGACGGATAGACAGACAGACAAAAATTCTAAAAACTATAGATTCGGCCTCTGTGTCGATAATAATGTTTATTTCAATAAGATTTTCCAAAAAATATCTAATGTACAGATTCGGCTTAGTTACAATTTTATTATATGTATAGATAACGTTGAAACTTATTTTAATTTGTTTTCATGTTTTTTGTGTAAAAAAAGGTTTCATTTAACAATATACAAATGTTTTTATCTTATTTTTTGCTCATAAATTTTAATTTAAATCAAAACCAATTAATCTAAGAAAATTTGTTTAATTAATTTCCATTGTAATAAAATTAGTGGATACTGCAACTTTACTAATTTATCACATGATAAGATCATATTGATGTTTATTTTTTAAGATATCACTGTTTATAAGAAAAAAGTGTAAAAATTAAATTTAAAATATTGCGAAAACTCTATTATATTTTTATGCATTATTAGCGACTAGATGAGATATATCCCGCAATAAAAAGTATATTATACATTGACAGGGATAACCAATTATCATCATATTAAATTTCATCAAAATCCGTCTAGTGGTTTTCTCATTTCTCATTCTTCACAAACAGACAGACAGAGAGAGATACAGACAGACTGACTGACAAAAACTCTAAAAACTATAAATTTGATCTCTGTATCGTTAATAATGATTATTTCAATAAGATTTACCATAAAATATTTAATGTACAGATTCGACTCGGTTAGAATTTTATTATATGTATAGATTTGTTGTTGAATTCTTTTGTCCCAGTTTATATACAGTTTGCCTTTAGAATAAATACTCTAGAAATAATACTCGTAACAGTCTCGTTATTAAAATCGGCTATTTGAAAAAATAATATTATGTCGTGAGTATCAAGCCTCAAATAATATTACGTTCACAAATGTCATCACTTAAATATAAAATAATAAATGTGGACAATGAACATGTTACTTTCTTAGATTTACGCGAATATTTGACATCCATATTTAATATTATAAATGTGAAAGTGTGTTTGTATGTTTCCTTGTTTGTCCTTCTTTCATGTCGAAACGGAGTAACGGATTGGCGTGATTTTTTGTGTGGAGATAGTTGGAGGGCTGGAGAGTGACATAGGCTACTTCCGCGGGAGATTATCTTATTCCCACGGGAAAACAAGTTATAATACAATCCAAAAAAATATTTATGATCAGAATTACTTGAAACTTGGTATTAATGGTTATCAATAAAATTAAATAAATATGTGTTTTAGCATTTATCGAAATTCTTTCTATAAGGCGGTAAAATAGGGGATGAAAGTTTGTAGGACACTACCATTTTAGAAGTTTTTTTTGTGGTTTTAGCGCGAGCGAAGCAGCGGGGTTTTGCTAGTTTTAAATAAAACTATCTTTTCGGATTTTTTCGCGGATTTATTTTGGTTTTTGGTTCCCAACGTTTCGAATGCTTTACAGCAATCGTGATCACGGGAGAGACTAACATTTTTATTATAATTTTCATTATTTTTAACATTATAAATTATTTTATTTTTAATATTAAAAATAAAATAAAAACCTCAATTAATTATAAAAATAATTTATTTTACTGAAAATGATAAATAACTTATTTTCTATTTTTGATAATAAGAATAAGGTTTAAGAAGTCTCAAAAAAATCTCAAAAGCATTATATAGTTGTTACAGACAGTCTTCCCACAAATTAACAAAAATGAATTCAATTATTCGATGAACAAAAATAATTTTTATAAAATTTGAAGATTTAACCTTATTTTATTCAGAGATACTGAAATATCAAAGAACGTCTTACATCTAACTTTTCCATTGTTATAAAGAAGTTAAGTTTGTTTACCTGTATGGATAATCTCTGGACAGATCCCAAAAAATCTCTCATTACTAGAACTTATTTTTATCAATACATATACCACGAAAGTACCCTTTTCCACTTCAGAATTAAGTTTGTTATATATTGGTCTCATAACTAACACCAGACCGAGAGTATTATTTTATATTTATTAAGAAATATAACTTTAAGTTAATAAAATATTTTCTAACATAAAACAGATTGTAGATAGAATATAACTTCGGTAAAAAAATCTTGAGATATTTATTTCATTGAAAAATATATATATATAATGAGACTTATTGTATTCACTATAAATTCTAGTGTAAAATATTTCGTTAAAATTAAATATAAATATCAGGTCGATATTGGAAAGTACTTAGTTATCCTTCAACAGTGCACGTAACCTATATTACTTATTCGGCAAGAAAAGAATGCAAAATAGGCTGAATCATTCTTGCCAGCCAGAATAACGACGAAATTCTACTATACTTTGTTACTTTAAGAAATCACTTTCACTAATAGATTAAATTTAAAGTTACGGCACATATTTTTATTATTAGACTAAGTTTTAAAATAGTTATTTTGCAGATAAGTTTGTAAGATTTACGTGTTATTTGCACTAGTTGAGTTTGACACCTATTTTATTGCAATAAAATTAAAAATTACATTTTAATTATGAATTATAACTTTTAATTTCCACTATCTTAGTTAACAGCAGATATAGGATTGAGTAAGCAACGTCTTTAAAATTGTCCAGAGACAAAATTAAATATAAAATGTTGCTATGAAAAAATGAAACAAATCGAATTATATATATATATATATAAAATTATTATTAGACTACTTTTTGCCTGCGGCATTGGTTTGATGTAAGCAATGGACTGAATTCTCTCTTTCGCCGAAAATATTTTATTACTGCAATAAAACGTATTTAAAAAAGTATATATAAACTTAATATGGGCTAGATCAACTATACAAATCATGAACCGACACTTACAGCGTATATTATTTACTAAAATTATTTATTTCTATTTAAATTGTATTGTATTCAACTCTAAACAATAATTTCAGTAAGATTGCTGCTCTGTGTTTCAATCAAATTGGGGACAGATTAAATTTTCGTACAGTATTTGAATTACAATAAATTTGCTATTTAATTTAACAGAACTTGTTTGGGAAGAAAAGTAACAACTTTCAGACATGTTGGTAACAAGCGTTCTTGTCATATTTTTCTAATGCACCCTTTTATCTTGTCTTCGTAATTTTTCTGATGTACGCTTAAGGGTACTGGAGTAATATCTTAATTATCTACCGACACTGTACTACTAGCTTTTGCTCACGGCTTCGCTCGCGTAATTTATTTATGCATAATCGCTGCAAAGGTTGAAAACGTGATGTTAGAGGTTAGGTTAGTTATATACATACGTTGGTATGTAGTCTGTTTATTAGGTTATA